TTCTTATTTCTCCTCAGTGAAGTGAGACTACCATGTGGTCACTTAGCGCGGTCAGCTGAGCTTCAACAAAGGCGGTATCCTGCGCGTCCACAGCAGAGCTGACCCTGATTGGCTTCTAATCTAGTAATCGGGTAGATGGCGGTAATGCAACTACTGACGGTGACCTCTACTGCTAGGGACAAAACTGGTGGTGCGAGCCTGTTTTTAGCCCGTTCACTCTGCATCATGTGGTTGACAAAATGCGTTTTCACTGCTGTAAATGTTCTCTGAAGATTGAACTAATTAGTTCTCCAAGGAGGTGATGTCTTAGTGGAGATAAAGGCAGAGAGAGGATAAAGAGGTCTATTTGACTTATATAAATGCAATTTAATAGTGTCAGAAATTAAGGTTTTCCGTTGTGGGTTTTTTTCTTTGTTTATGCCTGTATCTACACCAAATTCACTGTTAGTAACGCTGCTCCTCTTCCTCTGCCTCCTGACCCCCCGCCCCTCCCCCCACCATCCTCACCTCTCTGGTCAGATTATCACATTATCTGAAGTGTATATTCACCATAATCAAACTCTGGATGTTCAATAACAAAGTGCTGATGTGATCAGACTCTGACTAAGGACTCTTTTTTTCTTGATGTATTATTATTAACTTGAAATGACCTCATCCACCTGGGCTGTGGTTGTAGATCAGTCGAGGTTTGGACCTTTGTTAGAGTTGTCTTATCTATCTTTATTTAAGTTGTAGCTTTAGGTTAGATAAGGTTAGTTTGAAGGTACAGTTTGTTAAAGGTATGGTGAATGTGCAGGTTTTTTTGGGGGGCAATTTAAGTTGTTTTATGGTATAGTTAATTCAGAAATATGGTAGTGTTAAGGTGAATATTATAAGCAGCGTTGGGCACGTTACTTTGAAAAAGTAATTAGAACCAAGTAATAACTAAAAAGTAATTAGTTGATCACTCAAACAATAGTTACAATTGTTTAAACCAAATCACTAACAAATAATTTATCTTTTTTAGGCCCTAATAAGTAGTTAATTATTTAAATAATTTCCTAAATAAACTAAATAATTGGATTGTATTTTTAATCACTGAACTATTCTTGCAATATTCCGTTTATTAGGATAAGCATACTTTTAATTGTATTGTAATATTTTTAATGTGTATCTAATCTGGCCAGTTGTATTTTCACCTTTGTCTCCAGGCTCAGCGGCTCAGAAAGGGACTGTGAGATTAGCTTGAGCTCTGGGACCAGTTTTATCCTCCACTGGTATGGATGCATTGTTTTGACATATTCAAATACAAAAATTAAATGTGAAAAAAACACCTTGTATGTATTTTTGATGTATGGTATTACTTTTTTGTTTATTAGTTGGCTGGAGCCGAAACCTGTTTCATCCTCACCTCAGTTGCCTTCATCATACTACTCTCACTCTTTGCAGCCGTGGCCAAGATCAAAGATGAGTGATGATGATGATAATAAAGGCGATGACATACTAACATTGTGATACTCTGACTGGCCAATGAATGTGAACACAATTAACATTTGCACAGAACCGTTGCAGCTTCAGGCAATATGTGGTATTACACTTCATTTCAAGTTCTCTAATTTCTACTTTGTCTCAAAAACCAATTCTGTATGCAGTTGTTTTTACTTGTTTGTTTATCTGTTTTTTGCTACACTACCAGCCAATGGTGTATTTTTACAAGGGAGGAGGGAATATGCCATATTTTTTGTACTGTTTCATGAATTTAAAAAGTGAATTTATACATTAAGTCATATAAAATTAGACTTAAGTATTGTGGCTGGCAATCTGAGTTCAATCCTCCATTTTTTGATGACATCAGGGGATTTATGTCCAGTTAAAGATTCTTATTTTCTATAAAGTTGGTCACTGGTTTGGATCAACATAACCCTTGTCTCCTAAATGTGGTAGTAGAAAAGGTTGCACCAGAATAGTCGTCTAGCAGAAACTTTCACTCTGTGGAAGACCACTGTAGGGGACCGCTGAAAGTGAATATTTCCTGTTAATTTTAGCGTATATCTCTGGTGGTAGCCCTAATCCTACTGTACCAACATAGATTTATGCTAAAGCATGGTTCTACTAAAAGTGTAAATCAAAATTATACAAAAATATGCAGGTTGTTTGTGATTTTTAAATAAATTCTCCGAACTTGTAAAGTTGTTTGTCAAAATATCTTTTTTAACGCTTTAATGAAGTCGGCTTGTAATAACATGAAGATTCTCAGTCATCCAGGTCATGGTCAAGTTTAAAAAATTCTGTTAGGCAACTGGACGTGGATTTTCTAAAAGAAGACGTTTCACCTCTCATCCAAGAGGCTTCTTTAGTTCTAACTGGTGGTGGGGAGTACAACAAATAAATACTCTTGGTGTGAAAGAATAACGCTACTATAGCTCCACCCTGTTGGGTGGGGCCATGGGGTTAACTGTGAAAGTGTTGAGAGTCTGATGGGTCGTTGTGGTCCCCATCAGAACGGTTTCGGTCACCTGCCTCTTTTGGGTATTGTTCCTAAAAGTGCTTTGTATGTGGGTGATAGGTTGTGTCTGAGTCCACCTCCTCTGTTGAGTGATGGTTTTTCCAGGTTGACAAAAATGGCTTCTTTTACCCCTCTCTCAAACCATCTGTCTTATCTGGCCAGAATGTGCACATTGTTGTCCTCAAAGGACTGTGTTTTGTCCTTGAAGTGTATGTGAAGAGCTGAGTCCTGTCCTGAGGAGTTGGCCCTCCTGTGTTGGGCCATGCGCCTGTGTAGCGGTTGTTTAGTCTCACCAATGTACATGTCAGTACACTCCTCACTGCACTGAATGGCATAAACCACATTGTCCAGCTTGTT